GAGTATGATTTTATCAGAAACTATAGCTTTCGTGATTTCGAGAAAATGGCGAACAAGATTTTTGCTCGTAGATACTACAGTTCTGGGTGCCTTCCTGTTACATTCATGGAAAAAGAATTTTGGCATGAAATAGCTTGTGGAAAGACTGAAAGCGTTGAATATGCATGTGACGTTGATGGCAGTGCATTTTCATCCTCTCCTGATGATCCTCTTGGAAAAAGCAGATTGAATTTGAAGGTGCTGGTTTTATTTAAAAAAATCACTTATTAATAATGATGGAATTTTGTAGTTAACCTTTATGGTTCGTGTTGGGTGTTCTTAGCTAAGAGTTTTAAGAAAATATTCACTTCGGTTATTTTTTCATTGATCCTCATAAGTTTTTGTCCATGAATTTTCATTGATAGTTTTTATGGTCTACATGCTATACTTTCCTTAGTTTTGTTTTAAAGCTTGTGGATTAATTATACCTACTTTATTCTTGTAGTACTTTAAAATATGGGTTTTCAGTTTTCGGAGCTATGTGAGTGCTTTTGATAGTGGTGTCTTCACTTTTTGAGTTCAATAGTTATCCAGGCTCCGGTTTTTGTTGTTAATTGATCTCCATCTCCATCAACGGATTATTTTTATCATGTTACTTGGTCCATCTTTTCGTGTTGTTTCATTTCCTAAATGTTCTTCTGGTATATGTGGAAATGTGTAATATTTATTTCTACATTTGTTTTAATGCAGAAACTTTCTCGGTTGCCTAAATCTGTTTTGCGCCTTCTTGAAAGATCAATCCCGGTACAGAGTCGATTCTATTGTGGCAACAACTTCTTAAACTTTTATTTCACAGCTGTTCAGATCAACATTTGGTATTTTACAGGGTGTCACCGAACCTATGCTGTACATTGGAATGCTGTTTAGCATGTTTGCTTGGCATGTGGAAGACCATTACCTATACAGGTGTGGGCCTTTATTCCTGATAATGAAAATCTATCACTGTTTTATTATGGTTCTTTCATCATTTGCTAATATGGGTCCTGTGTACATATGCAGCATCAATTATCATCACTGTGGGGCAGCAAAAACTTGGTATGGCATTCCTGGTCATGGAGCACTCGATTTTGAGAGGGTGGTCAGGGAGCATGTTTATACACATGAAATCTTATCTGCTGATGGGGAGGATGGAGCTTTTGATGTTCTTTTAGGGAAGACAACATTGTTTCCACCAAATGTACTGTTAGAACATAACGTTCCTATTTACAAAGCTGTGCAGAAGCCTGGGGAATATGTTGTAACTTTTCCTCGAGCTTATCATGCTGGATTTAGTCATGGTATGTCATTTTCTCCTGAATGTTGGGTCTCATTTTTTCTTCATGAATTGTTATTTGATTTATTAAAATATTGTCTCTGCGTGGGGGATCTTTCTCGTGTTCAACTACCTTAAATTTTGATAAATTCTCTCTCTCTCTCTCAGGTTTTAATTGTGGTGAAGCTGTTAACTTTGCACTTGGTGACTGGTTTCCCTTGGGTTCAATTGCTAGTCGGCGTTATGCTGTCCTTAACAGGATGCCTCTCCTTCCTCAGGAGGAGCTCCTGTGTAAAGAGGCAATGTTGCTCCATAAAAGCTTTGGACTTAAAGACCTGGATGATTTATATGCGGATTTGATGTCTCACAACAGCATTAAGGCTTCTTTTGTAAGTTTGATACGCTTTCAGCATCATGTCCGGTGGTGTATGATGAAATCAGGACAATGCACAGCTGTTTCTTCATTTTCGCACGGAACAATCCTCTGCAGCCTCTGCAAACGCGATTGTTATGTAGCCTACCTGAATTGCAAGTGTTACCTGCATCCATTATGCCTTCGCCATGGTATAGCAAATTCAATGAATTTCATTTTCATTTTCTTGCCTCTTGATGAATTTTCAATACTCTTCTCATGCTGCATATATATATATTTTTTGTAATTGGTGTTCATCTTTTGTCCTCTGTATCAGATTTAAAATCACTTGATTTGGCTTGTGGAGGCATTTCATCAGTAGCCGTCCGGGAAGATATATTGGATTTAGAAGCGGTGGCAAGGCAGTTTGAGCAGGAGGATAGCATATTACGTGAGGTTGAACAACAATATAGATATGATGATGACTTTGTTTTGCTAATTAGGACATTCCCAGGAGTTGCGAATGAAGGTTATGTTCCTTATTGCGAGATGTCAATTGGATTAAATGATGAAAGCTCCCTTAGACAGGGCCAGTTGAACCATCTGCCAACTAGTCCTCCGTTGTGCAATGGAACTGAAACTTCTCGGCCTGTAACTTGTCACGATTTTGAATCAAGCACCGAACATGTTAGTCCCCAGACTAAGTCCAATGAAGAAACTGAGGATTCTGATTCAGAAATATTCTGCGTCAAACGAAGATCTTCTTCCAAAGTGAAACACAAGATTGTTGCACGCAATTCGGTTAATGTGATAACTGAACCACAGGTACATGTTTTTTTTTTTTTTATTGTGACTTTGTAGCAGCAAATTTTTCGTGGTTCGATTTTATCACATCCAGTTGAAACAGAGTTCATCATATACCAGAAAAGCATCTAACAAATCTCTTTCTGTTCAGGGTTTTAAGCGACTCAAGAAGCATCTGCCGGACGGTAACAAATCGGGTAGGGGAATTGGTAGTTTTCCCATCTCCATCAAGCTAAAGAAGCAGACGGTAATAAACGAGAAACTCATCTTGGGCAAAAACGGAAAATCCTCCCACATCGAGATTGCACCCAAACGCCTCAAAGTCAGAGGGCCATCAGCTTTAGGATATTATGACACAAGGCCTAACTGAATTAGTGTTTACACGGTTCTTTCGAAATTTGACGGATCTGCCCCTGGAGCTTCTACTCAGACGTTTTTAGCTAACAAACACAAATATTTGCTTTTAGGTGGGAAAAATCTGACTACATGAGGATATGCTAGAAGTTTCTATTTCTTGGGAGCAGCTGACGAGATTCTACATTCTAACTCAATCATATCATGCTTTATTCTTTTGTGTGGGCCCGGCTCAAATTGACGTGGCTCTGCACACGTGACAGTTGTTATGGTTCTCTAGTCGGGGGGTGGGGGTGTTTTTCAGTCTTTGGCTGGGGAATCTCTCGTTTTCCACGCCTGCGCGTTTATTGATAGATTTCGTAGATTTTGTTCTAGTTTCTTATTCAGGCTGTACATTTTGCTCCTCTAACGCTTGATTGATTCATTCCCTTACCCTACGCTTGTCGTTAATGTTTATGTCTGCTGCTTCTGCTTTGGTTAGATTTGATCATTCTTTCTTGTAGCTACTGAGTGGTTTATTGGGACTGGAATTACATGAATAAAAGATTTCTTGAATTCCTTTGTTTTCTTTTCTTTTGTGGTAAGATTGTTGTTTGGATGGCTGTTAGATTGTATGCTTTCATCTAATGATTATTATCTTGCATGCTTTCGAAATGTCATTCCTAAGTGTCGTATATTACAACGTTTCAAAACATATTTACGGAAGAGAACCGAAATAGTTACGTACAATGATAGCCAGGGCTTTTAAGGTAGTAGAATTAATATAACTGAAAAACTCAATCTGTTTGTCAGCCGTGCGGACAGGAAAATAAAACTCAGAGACCCTCTGATACATGGGCTTGGGATGTTGCAGATTTGATTTTGATAAATAGTGTCGATTGATGGCATTGATTGTGGGCTCAGTGGTCTTCCAATGGGCCGGCATAATCTTAGTGGAGGTTACCTTCTGGGCCAACAAACAAGCTCTGCCGGTAAGAACATTGTCTATTTTGTGTTATATGGCATGAAGAAAGGAAATTAAAAAATTATGTCACTAATGATTAATATTAATTGCGGTATAATTGAGATGTGTAAAATTGTAATAGGTTGAAAAAGAGGGATAGATTGAATAAATAATATAATATATAATAAAAGTTGTTTAAAATAATTTTTTTTCCATGCCAAATAGAATTATTTGTGTAATGTGACAACAAAATAGAGCAATCAAAAGGTCATTAGAAATGCTCTAAGACTTGAGAAAGTGCCTCCCGACGTTGCGAGTAGGTCACCAAAGTATAAGTCGTACAAATAACAATTCTATATTATTTGATACTTCTTTTAATACTTCGTTTTGTCTATGTGCGTGCTAAATTTATCATTATAACTAAAATATAGTTTTTTTTATTATTATTTTTAAAAACTTATATGCTCGTTTTATCACCACATATTAAATTTTCAATGACATAGAATAAAAAATATGTACCAAATCTATAATTCCGAAAGCTTTCCCCATATATGCACGTTATATTTCCATCTAGGAATTCCACAAGTATTATATATAGAATGCTATATTCTTTTCCAAAAGCTTTGATTTTTAATAAACATAATTTATAAATAAAGTAATAATATTTTATGGAAAGGTTTTAATATGTTTATTTATAAACATCTTTATATTAAGTATAGATTACGTAAATCTATATATATAATTGCTAGTAAAACAATTAAAAAAATATTTTCATTTTCCACCAACAATTAAAAAAATATTTTCATTTTCATATTTTATGGAAAGGTTTTAATATGTTTATTTTTACTTTTATTTTTTATTATATATAAATTTGTAACGTATTTTTACATTAATTGTATCTATANTGGTTGGAAAAAAATTTGTAACACCCATCCAATAATATTCTATTTTTTGGTAGCAAAATATATCAAAACTTACTATGAACATAGTGATTCATATGCAATTAAATAGTTATGTATTTTTTATGCAATATCAATTTTTGAAACATAATATTATTTAGTTTAAAATTTTAATGTTGTATGCATAGATATAACTTATACTAACTCCTATTCTTTTTAAATGTCATTTTGACTTTATCAACAATTAATCAAATAAATGACGTTTTGAATCTTTTATATATATTTTTCCATTATTTCTCTCATTTAGCTAATAAATACACTACGTCTTTTCATATTCACTCTTCATCTTTTCTCAAACCATTCATCTCTATCTTCATTAATGAAAGTTTATTGGCAGAAAGAAAATTCTTAATTACTGTGCAACTTCTCAAAACGACACTTATTATGAATATGAGGAAGTAATAGTTTATGTTTAAAATACAATATAATTATCTAATTTATAATTTTAATATTATGTGCATCTCACAAATACACAAGATCAAATACTAGTTTTCATAAATGTATAACATATTGCATTAAAACTATTTCGATTTAAATGAAAAGTGTCACAAATCACAAATTCTAAAGTAAAAAAAAGTGTCAGTTTGAATTTGTCAAATATACGAACAATTTGAGAAGGCATAATTATTATCTGGGGCAGACAGTAGTGAAGAAACTGAATGGAGGAAAATTCATTGCTAACATCATAGTCGTGTTATACTACATGGATCATTTCTGGGCTTGATTTTCCAATCAAATATTTAATGGAAATATTTAATTTTATATCTAAAAAATAATCTTCACATCAACCAATTCTAACTACTTTATGGCTTCTGCACAGCATCTATTAAAAGCTTGAAAGAAAATTATACAAATGCGTGTGCGAGAATTAAATGCTTGACCATATAATTATTTGTGAAAAATTATGAGTAGAAAATTATGAATAATGCTAGTACATTATTAATATACATACTGGAGTGGTTGCACAAATTACTGTATGATACTATCTAAATATTAGATGGGTCAATTTGATATATTTTTTTAAAATAAAAATAAATAGTTGCAATGAAATGATATATTCTTGTTTATGTTGTTCAAAAAAGATTTCAATTTAGAAATACGTCAACATATTGAGAAATATATCTATTTATTTATCTGTCGTGCCTGTCTAATAACAATCTTACGAATTTGGTTGTACCTTGGTCTTCTAGAAATGCATTTTTATATATAATTGTAGCTTATATATTAAATACAGTATACCCCTAATTATAGTGTGTAGTTGGTTCGTTTATTTTTGTTTTTTTCATGCATTTTTCTTGCTTAATTTCTCCGGGACCAACCCTCTATTGATATCTGATTAATACCAAACTATCACAGATTAATTCATATTTCTTGTGAGATTGGTACTGCCATGTGTTCCTAATAATTAGCATAGAAAATTAAAATAAAACATTAATTTAAAATTCTCTTGTGAATAGACCAATCATCCTCTAAGCGAGGTGTAATAATTTGAGTAATTTATAAATAGATTTTTGGGGATGGGCAAATTTTGTAGGATCGTGTTGTACACAACTTTGTTGATTAATTGTTACTTTGGTACAAGAGAATTTGGTACAAACCCATTTTGTTTACCAAAGAAAGAGGTTTTTTGTTAGAAAGATATGTTGATGAACAAATGCACACGTTATAGTCTGACATTCAAAGTTTCCTTTCCAATGCAAAAGGCTATTTTGAAAGAAAGCACTTTAGTGACACATTCAATACTTTTTTCCTTTCTCTTTAAATCTTTATTTTCCTTTCTCTTGTTAACAACATAGTTATTTGATATGAACAATGGTGCAAGGAAGGTAAATATTACATAAAGTATTGTTTTATTTATGTATTTGAAAGAATATGGGGAAAAACGGGTGCGGTCGTTGAAGTAATTTTGTTTTTCTTTTTAAATTGAACATATTTTTCATGTATAAATGATATGGGACAACTTACAAGTGGTATTATATTCTAATATTAATTTTGTGTTTCTTTTTGACATTGAACAAATCACATTAATTAATGTATGAGTTGTTTGCATTTAAATAAATAATATTAATTGCCATGTTTCATCGTATAATCATGTCGTTTCATTGTATAATCATGCCTGCATAATCGATTGTTGTGTTTGGTAACTTACAATTCAAGGTAAATTAGAAGTTTCAACTTGTATCAGAGTTTTGACATGTCATATAAGTCTCTCTATTTGGGATATCTGGAAATTAAAAAGACAAGTCATATATGAGTTGATAATATTTAGTCATCCACGTAAAATCATCATATAAACTTGTATAATAAATAAACATACCTAATTTAAGTATATTTTTGTAACTCTCTCTTATTGTTCATTTATATCAAATTTTTGTTATCTTCTATTGATCACCTCACCTCTACCAAACATTTTTCTTTTAACAATTGATTAATAGAATGCACTAGAAAAATTAGTTATTAAAATATTCCTTATCAAAGAATATAAATACATATTATGTCTATTATGTTTATATATAACTACTTATGATGATGCAAGAATCATTACACAGTATAGTAACATGAGACAAAGACTTGATAGTTGATATTAGACACGATTAGGCAACTGGATTGATATACGATTACGTACAATTACGTTAGGTCAGAATCTTCTTATGTTAGACATTAGTAAGGAATGCTATTCTATCATTAATCCATTTATGTGTAAGTACAGATTAACTTATATTGTGAAACTTCAATTACTCGTGAAATTAGTAATTGAAAATGGTTTTCTATCATTAATCCATTTTTATGTATGTGTAATTACAGACTAACTTATATTGTGAAACTTCAATTACTCATGAGTAGTCATTCTACTTAAGAATCAAACATATATGTAGAAGAATTTACAAATCTTTTATTACTCCAAAATCACCTTTATTAATTCAAAGTGTCACTTTCTTACACACATATATCTTTCTCTCTCACACACACAAAAGATGCAACCATTAATTAACTTCATACCCTTGTCCTTTCTCCATCTTCATCTTCTCTCTCTTTCATTCTCAAAATTTTCTGCAACTACTCCTCCTCCTCCTCCTCTCTCATCAAA